CAACCTGGCGCTAAAATTTTGCCAAACAAATCACAGTTTTACAGGAAGAGATAGCGACAGCGTGGAGACATTTGGCGCACACCTTGGAATCTGATCGAGTCACTCGAGTCCCACACCCTGAGCAGCATCCAGACAAACTTGCTCGCAAACTGGCTTGTTTGGTGTCGTTGGCCACCTGTCAAGGAAGTGCATCACTCACCGCGAGGAGCGACGGCGGTTTCGTGGGTTGTGTCCTATAACTGAAAGCCGCTCTGAGAGCAACTACGGCGAAGTTTTTTTTTTTTTTTGGCTTCGCTCACAACTTGCTTCTCATTCATCAAAGGTGACGAAGAAGGAGACAGCAGAGGAGTGCCGAGCGCTCCCAGCGCAGCTATCATTAAATTAAAGTTCAACAGTGAACCTCATGAGTAATTCATGGCGTGCGGCGAATTCTTCAGTTGTGTGCAGAATATAAGAGCGCCTAACTGCCGGCACACTGCCGTGTTTGTTGATGTTGGGCTCACTCACCCCCAGAAAAAAATGCTTAATCAGAAGACATAGCATGGGGAAAGAAAATAAAATTATCTTCATACTTCCCCAAAAAGTGTACAGCTCCAAATGATTTTATTCTAAGGAGACAAGGGAGTGTTTTGTTTACATACATACATACAGGTACGTTAGATACGGGCTAGCTGTTCGGATTGAAGGAAACGGACCACAGTAGGGAGTGAACGAGAGCTCTGTCTGCTCAAGTCCAGGATATCTGGACTGCAGGCCTATTCAGTCTCAGGAATTCAGATCTCAGACCCTTTGGTTCAAAGCCAGAGGCCGTCTCAGTCAATCATATTTTTCCATGTACCGTATTTCCGGCACTCTTCCCCTTTTAATAAATCGACTACCTTATTGATTGGAGGACTCAAAAGAGATGCTGCTCGGATAACACAAATGTCAGGTCAGAATTCAGCAAAGGGTCTTTAATAGACAATTTAGGCTTTTCAAAGTGTTACTGAAGGGAAGCAAAGGGCGGCGTGTCAATCCGCCATACCTGAAAGTGCACATTACGACCTAACAAAAAGGTCACTCATGGGGGGCGCACGGTGAATTTGTTCATATAAGTGACCATCACGACAGTACTTTGCACTAATTGGAGCTGCGCATGCGCTTTTCCATGCCTGACCGAAAAAAAAAAAACCATGTAGCTTCAAGAAAAAGATGACAAATATTTTGTTGTCTCATCAAGTGGTAACCAGGGCACATTTTTGTTGTTGTTGTTTCACTCAGGATGCCCAAAGGAATGTAACAAAACGACGCGGCTATCGAATACGCTAGTTAAACATTCGAGATTTAGAGTTGGTTTAAATACCAGTTTAACCCTAATACATCGCAGGGTTATTAAAACCTTTGTCTGTATCGTAAATCCGATTAGTGCAGGATACATTAGTGAGTATCTTTGAACCGTTCAGCGATTGGGATTAGAATGATGATACAGTATTACGGAGATCATTGTGCCTCATTCTGCATTCGATGATTTTTTTTTTTTTTAAAGAAAAACTATGAAACTATCAGTAAAAAAATATTAATTCAAACCTTTAGTGCACAGGTGTCAAACTCAAGGCCCAGGGGCCAGATCTGGCCCGCCACATCATTTTATGTGGCCCGCGAAAGCAGCTCAAACATGTCAACTTCCATGATCCTTTCGACAATGTCTGCCAACATTTTTAATTCTCATATGTAATAAATAAGAGATATACTATAAGCATTTTCTTGTTACCAAACCACCTGAATTGTTAGCATAGCCAAAAATGCTAATCATGAAATTTCTCTATGAGCAATACCATTTCATTTATCTCAAATTTAAACATACCGAAATGTCACACGTTTGTCGTGCACATATTTGCTTTCCGCATCGGTGAGCCATCTTTACATAAGCGCAAACGGCGATGGGGTCAAAGGTTCAAGCAGATGCCATCCAATGAAACAAACAAAGTGAAAACAGGACACTGGGTTCCTGTTCCTTAAGTGCAGAAGCAATTCGACACGTCTTGCTCCATCCCTGCCTTCTTCCTCCTCCTCCCGTGAACTGCATTGTCATTGTCAAAGCCTTTCCGCTCCACTTGGCCCGGACAACGGCAAGCAAGTTTGCCACAGGCCTTTCTTGCTATGATTCCGCCAACGTTAGCCAAGGTTGATGGAGGGCCCGATTAGGACCCTGAATGGACACCCATTAGGTGGTTATCCACACAAGTGTAAGAGCCCCGGAGCAATTCCCGCTTTCTTATATACATGATACGCGATCGGTGGCTGACATAGACTGGCGCTATTCTGTTAGCTCATTTCATTTCAAGCATTCAACAAGCTATCATGCACACAGTACGACAAAAACAAAGGAACTTTTTTTTTTTTTTTTTGGACGCAGCTGTAGTTACTAGAGCAGGGAGTGTATAAACGATCCATGTCATCATAAAAATTGGAGTCAATGATTCACAAAACTGCCTAAGGCAGTCGCGTACAATCCCCGTTGATTAGCCGTAATGAGTAGAATTCAAAAGTTGGAACCAACCGATGGCAGAGGACCTTTGAGATCCATAAAATTTTCCCTGCATTGAATTTTTTGTTTTGGTAGATTCGAAATGGTCATTCGTGGGCCATGCAGTGTAACGGGAGCACCGACTTAAGCCTGTGACAAACCGGCGCATGAAAGGACAAATACGAGCTATTTCGAGACGGTAGAGACTGAAAATGCCACATACGATGCAATATTTTTAACTGGAGGCAACCATTGAAAGACCCGCAAGGACGGAACGGCGAGCAGATTCTAACCGACGTTTCATGTTTTTCCCTAAGATTGAGGCATCAAATGTTATTTTTGGACTTCGGGAAGCCACAATCTGAGCAAAAAGGAGTACAAATCTAAGCAAAGGGTGAGCAATTTTGCACGTTGATTTATGATTCCCCCCGCTCCCTCGTTTCTATTTTGTTTTTGTGAGCGCACAAGCACATTTCCTGGATGTCAGATTAAACATCTCTCGCCGTTTGCTTTATAGCGGCGGGCAGAACTAGATTTCAAAGCCGAAATGCTGCGTGGCTTGTGCTTGAGCATTGTAGTATTTTAAATTTTGTCATCTTTATGTTGGTGGTGCTGTGAGGTTTTGTCTTGCAAATTCCATTTTTTTTTTTGGAGGGGGGGGGGGGCGAGTATCTCAGTCAGTACCGCCACCCCACCACCCTGTGCTCATTTGCATTCACTGTACAACGTATCCTTTTCTTCCCTTTTTTTTAGAGAAACCTCCAAAGTGAAGAAAACTAGGCCGTGTTTCAAGTTCTCCCTCTCCTCCTGTTCCTGTTTTTAACCACAGGTCTCACTTTTTGTCACCCCAGACTCATTCTTGAATTTACTTAAAGTTGCTGGAGGAAAAATCTTATTTTTATTTTTTTAACCCCCCCCTCGTGATATCTTCATCTAACGACTTCTTCCCTTTCTGCCTTCGGTACCACGCCCTACCTCGAATTTGTCTCCTTCCCACTTGCTCCCACTTCCCCACTTTTGACAGTCTTGTCCCGGTCCCTTCAGGCTAATCCTCCGGCGGAGCAGATGTATCCGCTCATTAACCTGGTACCACCTTCTAAGAGCCTCATTAAGTGTGACACTTGCACAAAAGCTAGGGGCAAGAATAGCCCCGATAAGCATGTAGGGTTTTTTGTTGTTGTTGTTGTTCATTTGTTTTGTTTTTGAGAGATAGCCGATTGGTAGAAGAAAGGAGAAATAGCTCGTAGACTCTTAAAAAAAGGACATTGTGATACCCTTAACTCATTCACTCCCAAAGACGTTTTTAAACGTCTTTTCAGACTTGGTCCAGAATTGGCTGGTACTGAATGAGTTAAGGAAAAATGGTTCGGTGACCTCATGCATTTGGAATACCTCACTGTCAATCAATTGCGGAATAACTTTTACCTCCCTTTGCCCCTCACCAGCCTTCCACTTTGTTTCATGACGATGCTCGCAAATGAGTGGTGAAAAGAAACCCAGCAGATATTTCGGAATTTCCTTCACGCCGCATCGACCATCCGCCATTCACGCTTTTGACTCCCAACGCCACACGAGACGGCCACAACTCCCTCCGGTGTCCTCCTGTCCTGCTTTCTCCCCAAAACGCCACTGCGGCGTGGAATAAATGAGCTCATTCATTGCGCTTGAAGCAATGTCATCGCTTTGCCGCCGACCACCCTTCCAATGTAAACAAGCCGAAAGGAGGGGGGCAGTGGGAGACACCGATTTACCGTTTCAGGGTGAGTTGTATTTGCGCGCTAAATCCGTATGCCGCATTTTCAAATGGCCTCTGCCGGGTGTTTTTGGAAGAGAACAGCAGAGAGCAACTTCCAAAGTCCCGGTAGTTTAAACGGCTCCACCGATTATGCTGAACGTCTCATCCGTCAAACACCGGCATGTCAAGGGACATTTGAATAGATCTGTTTTAGCATGGGAGCGCGACGCAGTTGGAGCTACAGTGGACATTGCGCGACGTAAGCTAGGGCTAACGGAACGGTGGTACGCCTCCCTTCCGTTTCGTTTTTGCCAATTTTTAACACAAACTTGCCGGAAAGTTAGAATTCCACACACAACTCTCTAGCTCCAACTCCTTAATAGAGTCATTTTGTACCATCTCAGGGACTCCGCATCCGTCTCTAAACGGCAAGGCGCAGACTTTCTAATGAGCAGTGCTGTCAGCACTCGGGTTTTATTGCTCGGTTTAAGTTGAGAGCGTAGCCGAGAACAGATGGCGTGTCCTAAAGTGTCGTCTTTTATCATCTGCCTATCACCTCCGTCATTAGCGCTCTGTTGAATTAATAACGCACAAACACTTGGGCTATAATTGGGGGAGAAGTTCCAAGTCATCGCAGCGGACATACTGATAAAAAAAAAAAAATAAGGATGCCGGAAGTTTTTGTAACGAGCCATGAAAGTGTTTACGACCGAGAAATTGACCGTGAATCAACCTTGGCCCCGGGCCGCTTGTTCTTACCTTTCATATTCCAGGTTGTCGTGATCACAACGGGCGTCTTTATGCTTTTCCCAGTCCTTCCCGTGGCGGCATGTCGTGAGCGACACAATGTCCTTCCCGTTGTGGATGTGATGGAGAGCGTTTCGGGTATCCGAGCCGATGCCCGTCAGGTAGCGCTTCCCTTTGAACATCAGCAAGTACTTCCTCCGCGGCGGGGTGGTGTTCCGGACCAACCAGCCTCGTTCTCCACCCTTCTGCGGGTGGTCCTTTGAAAAGAGCGGGATGGAGATGTCAAAACCGGGCCTGAAATGTTCCGTGTTGAGGCTGGCTCTGGCTAAGATGGCCTGGCCGATGTTGAAACCCAGATCCTCTGTGTAGTTGGGCCAAGTCCCCGAGTAAAGATTAAAGATCAGGTGATTGCGCCCATCGTTCCAAAGAGGGTAACCCCGAATGCGTTCGTCCACGTTGGGCACAAACTGTCCTGACAGCTGGTCCCTGTCCAGGGTGTCGATCCCGAGCACAAACAAACACGCCTCACGCGGATCGGACGTGTAGTATCGTGACTCGGCGATCGACGTCAGGATTTTTTTGTAGCTTTCGGAGACGCGCTCGTTTTTCTCCGATGGATAAACGTACACCCGGAACCCTTCTCTTCCTCGACGCCGACAGCGGGAAAAGTCAAAGCAGGTCTCCATGCGGCAGCGGCTGTCCTTGTAGATAACAGACCACGCCTGTCGCCGCTGCCGGGGCGACTCGGACGTCCCAGGGTCTGTCTGGAGCTCGTTCAGGTGAGCATAGCAGGGCAGGAAGGCCCGGTCGGTCCAGTTGGGCCAGGGTCGCACGACCTCACCCTGCTGGCCTGTCAGCATCCGGAGCAGACGTACAGGTAGCTGGACTCCCCTACCGAAGTAAAAGAGAACCAGCCAGCAGAATGTACACAAGCCCAGCAGAACATATTTCTTCCGCGCCTGCATGGGGGCCTGCCGCAGTCTTTTTTTTTTCCTCCTCTGGTCTCTCGCTCACTTGTCCTTTTTTTTTTTTTTTTCTCCCCTTTGCCCCTCAGCTTTGAAGCCTCACAGGGGCGCGAGCCGGCTTAGTGACTTCTAACAAGGAGCTTCTAAAGGAGGGCAATGTGTCGACAAGGACATGACCGTCTCCTCCAAGTGTGGCCTAGTCCACTTTGCCATTTAGGAGGACACAGAACCAAATTATTGTCTCCGCTCGGTCAGCCTCGGAATGTCTTTCCCCCCCTCCCCATTTTGTCGTCAGCACTCAGATGCCAGTGCTCAGCCGTCTCGATTGAGGAATGCGCCGCTTCTGCCGATGCCGCGTGCGTTTCTTCCCCGGCGCAGCCTGCTCGACGGGAATGAAGGGTGATTTCTTCACTCTCTCCGGCCAAGCTTGCTGCCTCATGGTGCCTGGCGCAACTGCTGTCGGCAGGCCCCTCCTATGGAGAAGCAAACAAACAAGAATACAGATCAGTACACAGCGAGTCGCCACTCCTCAACCCAACAGACACCTTTTTATTTGTGGAACAGAAAACTCAAACTAGGTCGAATGAAACCAAACAATCAAGAGGACGTTTCGACTTCATCCACAAGAGATTTCGAATTTTCCCCAGACTTGTGGTTAATATGTCCGCCTCGCATATTTCTCGGTTTAAGGGTTTCAAATGTCAGCTCTGGCCATCCTGTGTTGGCCCTTTGGGTTTTCTCCGACGTCCCAAGTCCACAGCTTGGGTCAAACCAGAAGAGATGGACAGATACAGATGTAAACACCCGTGTGGTATGTGCAGTCAGTATCTCATTGTTATTTTCTCCCCGTTTCTGCTTTAGAATACTCGATTAACTGCTGCGCACCATGACACCGATTGGAGTTGAGGTAGAGTAGAGCAGAAAAAGGGTCTTGAGCAGTTTCAATGGAAATATGAGTGAAAAAGAAGGAGTACTCTATTTGCTTCAGCTTTTCTGTGAAATTCTTGACGGTTCACATTTTTTCGTCGGCGCCCTGTACTCTATACGTACAGTGTGTGATTCTGTGTGTGTGTGTGTTTGGGGCGAGGGGTGGCGGGGGGCTTCACAGTAGAGGATAGTGTTCCTGCTGCCAGCTGACACACAAAGGCAGCTTTCAGGACTCACCTGCCCACGTCCTCTACCACTCATTCCCATTCCTCATTACTCAAGCCAAGAAGTAATGGCGGCCACACCGTGCGAGGAACTTGGATAAATTATACCTTGTCTGATATGAATGAGACAACTATTGCCAACAACGGCTGTGAGCACTCTGGGTATGTTCACTGTATGATCCATTTTAGGGGCGGGTTTGGTTGAAAAGGGAGACAAAAGGAAATTTAAAGTGAAATTACAGTCGCCACGTACCGTATTTTTCGCACTATAAGGCGCTTCGGGGTATAAGGCGCACCTTCAATGAATGGCCTGTTTTAAAACCATTTTATATATAAGGCACAGCACATTTTAAGGCGCATAGAATAGAAGCTACAATAGTGGCTGCGGTTGCATTATGCCTCCACTAGATGGAGCTATGCTAAAGCAATACAATACAATACAGCTTTATTAATATTGAGCCTTTACAACCGCTGCAGTTGCAACAAAGCGCTTGACAGAACATTTAAAATACTACGTCCAGGAAATGAGAATTTTGATCCATATACAGTATAAAGAGCATCGGATCATAAGACGCACTGCCGGCTTTTGAAAAAAATCAAATGCTTTTAGGTGCGCCTTGTAGTAAGGAAAATACGGTAATTTGCTTCCGTATGTGACTTTGGAAAACTAGTGGACCGTAAATTCATGTATATTATACATGTGCATTGAACAGAAAATTGCCCCTCTGTTCTCTGATCTTTCAAACGCAGTTACGGCTTTGGCATAGCTGTGATTTGTGATATATTTTCAGCTGCTGCAGTTCCACATTTGCCGAAGCATATAAACGAGTCAAACAAAACACTGTGTTTAGCTCCTTTGAAGTTGAAGTTGGGTGTGGCGTTCGATTTGGCAAGTTGGAATGAAAATATATTCTCAAGTGGTGTATTTCTGGGTGCGCACGCATGCGCTACCCAAACACCTGACAGAGATTTTATCTCACTGACACTTGATTTTTTTTTTCCACTATCAGGAAACAGTTGGCGAGCCGTGACATATTTGTCAACAATTCACAATTGCTGAATGTAAGCATTGATTTCTCATTGATTTGATCTATTTTTTCCCATGCTTGGCGTCTCACGACAACTCAAACCTGACGTCTGACACACAGGTGAGCCGCTTTGCTGCAATCTGTCCCAAACAACGTCAAACACACATTCTCAATACTATTAAATGGGCAAAAAGAAAAAAAGCATCGAGGGACAAGTGAAAATGGCTCCGAGTGAGTTCCTCAGCGGTCCAAGGACAGATGCACTTAAGGATGCCCACGAGTAGCTGAGTGGCTCTCGTGGCAGGGGTCTGTAGGGCACCCATCAATCACGGACCATTATGGCGGCGACAACCACTGGAGGACGAGCCACAAGGCTCAATAAATTGCGCGGAGGCGTGAAGGTGGAAAGAAGAGGTTCAAGGGGAGGTGAGCGAATGGGCAGCGACGGTGCGTTTCGTCGTACAATGAATCCCAATAAGACATTAAAATGATTCATGTGCAATATGCAGGCCACAAACTTAACGCGTTGGTCCTTGGCTTCATGTGACGTGGCTGGAGAATAGCGACAGCGCAGTACATGAGGAAAATTTCACCGGTGGTAGATTCAACCTCTCCTTTTAATCTCGACCTATAAACTATTTAAACCGGATTATATTCTTATTGCATTATAATTCACGCTGGTTCATTTTGTGAGAAAAATATATATATATTGTACTCAATGTGAACCAAATCTAAAAACCAAGGAAACTGTGATTTTTAGTGGACCGTTAATTCCACCGTTCTACCCCGCGCCCCCTGAGCGCAATCATGACAACAATGTGGCCCGTCTTGAAAACATGTTTGACACCCACTGCCAGGTGAGCAATGGAAGCCGACCGCGGCAATCCTAAATTTAGTGCGGTTACACCTAAAAAAAAAAACCCCAGCATGACTCATACCATTGTTAAATCGCAGCAGGCGTTTAGGTGACTTTGCGTGTCCAAATCTCGATGTAATCACACATCTGGCACTATGTTTGTACTGGCTAAGATCTGCCCGACCCATTACTTCAGTGAAATGAGGTGTACTGAAAAAGAAAAAAAGAAAAACATAAATCTTGCGGCGAGCGAGGCCCGGTTAAAATTAAACTCGAAGATGAAAGGCCGCAGATGTGACAGTTGCGCGAGGGAACTCGAGGCTAACCGGACTGAGCTGAGTAATTGCAGAGGTGCCCAAATTGGTAGCCTATGTAAATGCTGCATAGAATGTGTCACAAGTAAGATCAAAAGTATTCCTAAAGATGACCGAGTTGCACCACGTGGCACAGAAACGTTCTTTCTACGGGTCTCTCTTAAGAAACAATTTGCCTCGCTCGACTTTAAGATACTGGATGTTATAAACAGAACAAATAACACAGACATTTCATTAGCAATTTTAGTTTTTTTTAGCTTTTGGGATAAAAAAGGTTCACAAACTTGATATTCTCTTTAATTGTGACTTCTTAGAATTATGACATTTACTTACGCCCTCTAGGTTTGTAGTCGAGAGCCCCTGAAAAGTTCAGTTGTTTATATCGTCATGCTGCAACACAACGGCTCCCCCCTGATTGTGCCTCTCATTACAAGCCGAGGTTGATGAATTAAATCGCAACAATTTGCTCCACTTCAACGCCACGAGGGGTAATTAACACGACGTCGAGGATGGGCGGGAAAAAAAACAACAATCTCGAAGGCGTCGATGCTGTTAACACACCGGATGAAAGCGAGAAACTCGGCGGTAACGCCTGTATCGCGGCGGAGCAGGCCTGACCCTGGCAATCGTGTCTGTCTGAGCATACGCCGAATTTTAAAGCCGAGAATAGACACGTGGCGGCTCAAAGCAGAGTTTACTAAACATGCAACTCATCTCATTGACCGACAAACAAGCAGACTTTGACATCGGTATAGAATCAAGACGCGGTGTGAATACTGATAACATGATAACACGCTAAGCTGTCCACTGTCGTTACCGCTGTCCCTGAAAGGGTTCAAATATAAGGATCAAAATCACACATCGGAAACGCCGCTGCTTAAAGCAATGGGAGGATTTGTTTTTGGCAATTTTTAAATCGTGAACGTTGTCCATGTCGGGACACATTTGGGACAACTTGGGAGCCTCCTTTTTTCCACGAGGGATGGCGTGTTACAAAACATCAGATGGACCTGAAATCCCCATTAAGATGACGAGTTGTCGTATCCAAAGAGACATCGCATCAATCAGAGAAAAATGGGCGCGCGGCCGGCTGTCAGGATCCGCCTTCCCAAGAGAGCACCTTCCACTGCACCCGAGATAACGATTTATTCCAGGAAAGTCTTTGCTCATCTAAAAAGCACAACAGGTGAGTTGTAATTCATTGCCAAATCTAATTACGCCATATTGTGTGCGTGTGTGTGTGTGTGTGTGTGTGTGTGTGTGTGTGTGTGTGTGTGTGTGTCCCTGCCTCTGGGACTCAAACTGAATGAAATGTGGGTATTTTATGCTCTTCCCTTTAATATAGAGTACTACCTTTACTTGAAGACGGAGAATTCCAAAATTCCAAATCACGTGACACTTTAACCCTTTGAGGGGCAGCGGTTAAACTACAGTGGACAGCTTATCATGTCATCAGGTTACAGGTTATCATTATTGGCCCACGAAAGGGTTCAACTCCACAGGTCTCACACAACTATGCAGAATGAGAGAGTCCAGATCCTCACCAGACACAACATAAGGTACACCGACGCAATTTAATGAGATGCAATCCTAAATTATTTGACATTATTTTATTATCCAATTCATCGATTAATCAAAATAAACACCAGATGAATCGATTATTATAATCAGTGTTCGTCGCGGCCCTACTTACAAGTGAAAATCATGCGTGGCGTTATAATTTTCCACAATGTCTGCTGCTCAAAAAAAAAAAATATGGTCCATCCATATATTATCTGTATCGCTTACCCTGTTCGGGAGCTGGAGTCTCTCCCCACCGACTAGGCAAAAGGCAGATGACACCCAGACTTAAAAGATATTTGGAATATTTGTCTTTTTTTTTTTCAATCCACGTAGTGCCTTGCGTAAAACAGATCAATTCGGGTCTGGTACTCCGAGCAACATGATGTTGAAAATATGCTACTTGAGATCAGGTGGCAGTAGCGGGTCCAGTTAGGACGAACCTCCACAGAAGCGATTATATAGCCGCATCATGCTCCAAAACGTCAATAATACTTGACGGGATTCCAGCCGAAATGCTTCCTGTGTTCAAACAGAAGCTACAATAGTAACCCCAGTATCCACCTCTTCCATTTGAGCATCTTGGGATTCCATAACAGCAGTTACCTGCATGAATACAAATCAAGAGAGCACGGTGTTGTACTTGGGATGAGGTAGAAGCGAACATAATACTGGGCTGGTGCGTTGTTGTATTTCGGGATGCTGCCGCAAACAATCCGTTGTTTTGATGACTGAGATTTTGGTTGATACACTTTGCAGTTCAATCTTATCATGCCCATTGCAGTGTGCCGACAATGGATACGCGCGTGGGAAAGGGATGGGAATGATTTTCAAACAGACAAGACAACCAAAGAGACTAACGCTGTAAAACTTGTCACGGAGAATCATTTTAAAAGGGACACAATTTAGATCAATCCACACGGCACAGCATCCAAACATCAACGCGTTGACAACAGACATCTCACATACACACAAACAACACACACGCACACACGAGATCCCACTTCCTCCAACACGCACGGATCTTACCGGGTAGCCAACCGAACTCTAGTGCGTCATTTTCCTTTTTACGCCACGTCCCAACATTTGACAACGAATTCAACAAACGAACGCGGGTCCCTTCGTCGCGATATGAATGGAGAAGATGAGCTTGAAATGATCCATTTTCCACATCCACTACGGTAGTCTTTGAAGACCCGCCCCCGGGCGTCCGTGATTGGTCCAGACGCTCCTCCGACGTCTTGACTGTACAGTCAAGAAAAAAAACAAAAAACATTTGCATACACTGCGACCCGGTGCTGTGGGCTCTCTGACCCAATTACGCACGAGGAGCGAATTGTTAAAGAGGAGCCTGTTAATACAGAATAATGCCTATTGCAGGGATGGGCAATTTAAATTTTGGAATGGGCCACAATTTCACATCAGTTTTCGAGGGAGGGTCACACGCACGTCCTATTCAGATGTATGACCAAATTGCTATTTTAAAATGTACAATTAAAGCAACATTTAGTGCAAGAACTCAGTTTGGACATGTTTTTTTCCCCACAGAAATCAATTTACTGTCCTCAAAATGTCATTGTTGTTGTTTATCCTGCATATCAATATTAGGCCTATACTCGCGTGGTAAAGCGCAGCGTAAGACGTAGTGCAAAGCTTTGTTGATGCTTGACGCGTCCGCGAGGTTCGGATGGATCCACCAGGAGAAAGTGCAACCAAGCTTAAGTGAAATTGAAACACATCGACCATCCCGATGGTGATTTGTGAGGACAATTTCAATATCCAATGTGTAGAATTTTAGTGCCGTTTAGCGGTGAACTCAGAGAATGCAACGACCTAAACTCAAAGGAGGCTGTTGTATGTAAAACAGTACTGTACAGTTAAATATCGTCAACGTCCTAAAATAATGGTTCGAGTTACCCCGCCCCCCAGAAAACACACACACACACACACACACACAAAAAACACCACCTAAGTACGTCGTAAGGTTCTACAAATCTACACTTGAATCAAGATGAATGTTTCCATTTTTTGTTGTTTTGTAACAATAAATGTTAAATGTCAAAAATTAATGGCTAATAGCGCGTTTCCATTTGCAGGTAAATTTTACAGACGGGCGCTCGTGTCGACTTCAATCTTGGGACAGACAATCACTGAGTTGGGTTGGGTTGCTCAAACTGTGTCGAAAGCCGAATTTCCAATTTTTCTGAACTTAGCAGCAGGCTCCTCCCAAACCAGAAGTAAAAGCTGAAATATTTTTTTCTGGGGTCTTCCGTTACGTTGCTCTTATGATTGCGGCACGACTACGAAAATGACCAACAGCCCAAAATCAGCGTAACACCGCAGGGTTCCTTTTTTTCCGAATCACACTTCCAACGACTCAGCGCTTGTGAAATAAATATTCCACAGCTCTGTACTAGGAAATACGACGATACTCTTGCGTGCTTACCGGTACCGGGTAAGTGTATAATGCACGTGTTAATGTACAATAGAAATTCTCCACGATCAAGAAAACATCACACATTGTTGGGCTCTGGTCTCCGTGACATTCATCAATCACAGACAAAGTTAACAATTGACAGCAACTGTGTCTGTTTTCATTTTTGTCCCCCGCAACATGCACTAGCTGTACCAGGCAATGTTAATGTTTAATATTGCGTGACAATGTATTTATTTGACTGCTGTCTGCAGCCTCGGTTAAACTATCGGAATATGCAATCCAACAATTAAAAATAAAGTTGTCAACATTCTGCCAATAAAATCTAAAATCCTCAGTTATGGACCAAATTTTTAATACAGTTCTTGTATTCTCTGTCAGATAGTGCAGAGTAACTCATGAGGCCCGTGAGTGTAAGGACACCTGTTATCATCTGCTCTTTGTCACGCAGAGAGAATCCAACATGAGCGACACGCTGAAAACTCAGGCTGATCAGGTCGTTGACCTCAAAGAATGGGAGCAACGCTGGGAGGAAAACAGAATTGGCTTTCATAATCCACGAGTACACAAGTAAGACTACAAATTACCGAATATACTTCATCTGTGGAATGATGATTTACAGGAATGAACCAGACAAACATTACACTTTTTTTTCCCCCAGCACATAATTGGAATTGCTTAATGATTGGTTAAAAAATATATATATTGTTTTGGTTCCTTCTTGCAGGATGCTGGAAAGTCATATTGACAAAGTTTTGGCTGGGCGAACAGGAGTTCGCTTCTTCTTTCCTCTCTGTGGGAAAGCTGTGGATATGAAGTGGTAAATAAAATTAATTTTGTCTTCGAAAAGCAAGTGTTCAGTCATGAGTTACCTAACCGCTGTCTGCGAGTGCTCTTGCTTTTTTTTTTTTGTTTGTTTTGTGTGTACTTTTTTTCAAGGAACTAAGCATAAACATGTGAAACTATTTGCCGATGTACAGTTTTGGACCAGCTCATAAATAAAATTTCATCGCCATGATCTACAATATATTGTTTTTCTATGTGTATCCCAGGCTAGCAGACATGGGGCATTCAGTGGTTGGAGTGGAAATCGCCGAAAAAGCCATTCAACAATTCTTTATGGAGAACAACCTGACATACAGCGAGGAGCCTGTCCCTGCTATGCCTGGAGTAAAAGTTTTCAGGGTAAGTCAATTTTAGGTGTCTGAATGGAAATTAAATCACACGGTATTTTATAGACTTATAGAAGCACTGGCCATTTTATGAGCATCCTTTGGGTGGGGGGGGGGGGCACAGTAGACTTCATGATTCCATTTAAACAGTTCCATAGTGGTGAGCACATCAGAGTGAGAAGTCACGTCGTCCTCATTCCAAATGCACCACGTGCATACAAACATCTCACCGGTAGCGTGTTCCATGTGATAACGATACAGTCTTTGTATTCTAATCACTCACACTTTTATTCCACAGAACTCCGAGAAAAACATCTCTGTGTATAACTGCGATCTGTACAACGTGTCTAGGTAAGTACAGTATTTACAAAATGTTGAATTTTATGTTTTGTTCATGCCCCCACCCTCACCCCCCGACCCTCTCCCTTTCCTGTTTGTCACAGTTCAGTTGTAGGTCAGTTCGGGGCTATTTGGGACAGAGGATCTCTCGTGGCCATCAACCCAAGAGACAGAGAAAAGTAAGGTCTCAAACTCAGAATAAAGGATTGATTTCAAGGCTTTGTACGGGATGACGATCAATGTATCGCTCATTTTACGCTTAGTGCAAAACTATTAATATTAGCTTTGCTGTATGTAGGCGCAACACATCCAACATGTTTTCCCATAAACTGTTCATCGGTACCAAAAAAAAAAAACAAACAAAAAAAAAACAAGTGCTCTCGACGAAAAGTCATGATGTTGAACTCATTCTGTCATATCTCACCATTCCACAGATACGCGTCTCTCATCATGTCTTTGATGGCCCAGGACTGCAAATACCTTTTGTCCACATTGATGTATAATCCTGAACTTTATAAAGGTAACATTTCATGATTAAAAGTTGAATTACTGCCATCCATATATATCTATAATAGTGAAACAAAGAATTCACGTTCGTAAGAGTTGGTATTGGTAAAACTGAGTCAATATTCCCAACAAACTTTCAGGCCCTCCTTTTGTTGTACCTGGTGAGCAAATACCTGGACTTTTTGGTGAGTACTGAATCAACTTTTGATCATTTAATACATGTGTTCAGCATGAATATGAGTCCTGACCGTACTATTTATTTATTTTTTCTCTCCAGGAAAACAGTGCAATGTAGAGCTTCTCCTATCACAGAACGTCATCGAAGACAGACACCTGGCTTGGGGCATAGACTACCTTATTGAGCAACTGTATCTCATCACTCCAAAGATTCGTTAAAGATGGATGAATTAGCAATGATTAAAAAAAAACAAAAAAATAAAAACCATGAATGCATTGATCGATAAAATACTTGATCAGTATTGTATTATTTTTCATCGAAATCAAGTATCTTATTTCAGCATACAATATGGCATGTTAACACTGTACACATCAAGTTAAATATGTTGATATGTGAATAAAGTCTATCTCATCTATATCTTGTGTATGTAATATGCTCATTTGCCACATGATAGACCCCCGGCCCCCAACAAATGAGACCCAATACAAGACTTAAGATGTTAATAAAACTATCCTTTCATTCACCAGAAGTATCAAGGACTGAGCGTTAACATATAACAATGGAACAAAAATGTTAAATTGCCCTCACATCAAAAAAAAAAAAAGGGGACGCAAATTCTCTTATCGGTTGTTGCCTATTTACAGTGTTTATACGAGTGATGGTGACGTTTAAAAAAAAATCAACAATACACCGCATAAGGTCAATCGCTCGGACTATTGAATTATTAAAGGTCAAGTCATAATTTCGGCATACGTACAGTATTTTCCTGGCAAATTGATCAAGTTCAGTTTTGGGTTACAGAGGAGCACAGTTCCATCTCGTGGCTGAGCTTGGAATGACGTCAAGAAGCGATATTGTATCATATCGCGTCATCCTTCAATAAATATAACTGAATTGCCCTGCCGTGGAAGAGAAAGGATTTTCATCTAAGATCAGAATTGTAGGCTCAAATGTCAAATAAGTTCGATACAGGAAGCAATTAGGCATTGAAACCGCAGAGGGCGCCAGAGCTCAGGAAAAAAAAGAGCCTGAGTCGCGCCCATTTGGATGCAGACAAGTCCTCACCAGTGTTACGGGAACAAAGGCAATCACGTGACTGTTGATAATGTCGAACGTGAGTATTTCCGTCTTACAAATTAAAAATACAACTTGGAAAGGATTGCACTTGTCACATCTCTGTTAAATTTACCATCCGTCACATACAGTACAGTAAGTTGTTTTTTTTCTGTTTACACACGGCACTCATTGAAAACAATTTAAATTAATTGCTGGGCTTCCGTGAGGATTTATCTGATTTAATCCACCTCTTAATATACAGTGGTGGTATACGCCACAATTGTAGAAACCCTCCATACTGTACATTGTAGAGATAATGCGCCGATAGTTTTTGGTTGTCGACCTTGGCTTGCTCTGATCAACCAATCACAGGGCAGAAAAATGCTGATGTTACTTTGCCGGTCTACAAGGCTGAGCCCACTACAGACTTGAACGCCATGACAACTAGGCTCAGATGGAGGAACTTAAAACAGCAGTTGGCCGCTGTCAGGTGGGTCCATACACATACACAATGCAACCAAGCAAGCTGTTTAGCGCATCATTCATCAAAAGGCCACAACTTGTCTGACGGCAACCAGCAAAACGTATGGTGCATGTTGTTGAAAAACAATTTTAGCAACTCTCAAAAGAAGCTAACTGCGACCCAGAGAATGCCGTCAGAAATGTATCGTTCCACGATAGAAGTTATGATAAATATAAAAATGTACTGTATATCTATCTCCATCCATTTTCTAATCTGCTTATCCTCACGAGGGTTGCGGGTGTGCTGGAGCCTTTCCCGGGTGTCTTCGGGCAGTAGGCGGGGGACACCCTGAACAGGTTGCCAGCCAATTGCAGGGCACACATAGATGAACAGCCATTTGCGTTGACAATCACAACTTGGAGTGCGCTATTAACCTGCCATGGATGTTTTCAGAATGTGGGAGGAAACCGGAGTACCCGCAGAAAACCCACACAAGCACGGGGAGAACGTGAAAACTCCACACAGGAATGCCAGAGCCAGAATTGCGGAATCGAACCCTGCACCTTTGCACTGTGAGGCGATGGTGCTACCCAACCCACAACCAGTGTTTTTTTTTCGGAATTGGAATTCTGGGCAAGTCTCTGAAACAGTTCAACCCTCAAACATTGTTCCGTAAAGTCCAAGAGGAAAATAGATGCATCTAAATTCAAAAGCAAACCCTGCTGCCGTAGCACCCTGCTAAAGAATAACTTGTGGACGAAGCAGAAAATCCGATTTGCATGCACTTTCTTCACCAGTGAATTGAGAAATAATACCTGATATTGTTTACATTGTTCACCTTATGTAAGCGCCCGTGCAAGCACACATGCATACGACATACTACACACGCGCGCCACTCTCTGACCAGGCTCAATAGCAGAAGGAGCTTTGCCTTCGGCCTAATTGGCTGCATAATCTGGGACACCAGGAGTACTGTTAAGCCCTTTGAAAACGACAAGGACACAAAGCCCGGGCAGCCTTTACATTGGGGGGGGGGGGGGGGGTGTGGGGGGGTGATTCAATTTTTTTAATTACATTCCAAAATTAAACTTACTCTTGATTAAAATTAACATTCTACCATTCTCCTCATTTGATGGTTTAGCCTGGATTGCTAACGTCACTTTTGTTTTTTTTATCTGCTTTTCGTTGCAGAGGTCAACAGAGGATGAACTACTTGATGAGGGCAAGCAAAACCTGCTACCAGGTCATTTCTTTCCTCTTTGTGCGTCCTCCTCCCTTTTATCTTCTGAATGCGGCTTTCTCTTTCTGTCACCTTATCTTCAACTTTCTAATGAGGGGACACTTGACAGGTGACAGGAGTGCAATCTGATGCACCGATTGGCTACACAAGTTTTGAATCCAGAGGAATTTAATATTCTATCAAAACATATAAAAGGATTCTGTTGGACAGTGTTTGATTGGTTCTTATCTCATTTCAGCAAGAATTCCAATTACTAAAGTTGAATCATCCAACTTGAATTACTTTTTTTTTTTTTCCGCTCTGGCAACTTTGAATGCTGGAGGGCAGGAGGTAAATTTATTTTCATTTTTCAAGCTGAGTCGGAGGCATGCATTGGCTTTTTTTTTTTTTGCCTCAGATTTTTTTATTGTTATTATTTGCTAATGAAGTCAGATGGACGTGTTTGGAATCGTTTGGCTTGGTGTCTGCCCAAATTGAAATGACACAAGAGTATGAATGGAAATGTGATTGAAATGAACTAATAAAAATTAGGTGTTGCTTTCGCTCTGTTTCACTTTACAGGTGTTGAATAGGGTTTAGATCAGGGCTCTTAAAAACAGGCTAATGTTTTGTTCTTATTCATTCTTGGGTGGTTGTACTTTGAGTCATGGCCCTGGAGGACCCGTGACCTGCGGCTGACACCAAACTATCTGACACTGGGCAGCACATTTTCTTTCAGAATGCCTTGAGATATCATCGTACCCTGCAGAGTTTCAAGACACCTTGTGTCATTTTCAGTGAAAGCTTCAAAAATCGTTGGATTGCAGTGATTGCCTCAAAGGTTTATGCAAGAAAATACCAAGTCAAGGGTAC